TCGCCTGCTGTCTGTTGTCAACTTTGTTGCTCGTGCGTTTTTTTGTCATGTCGCGTTCGCCCGGTGCGCATTCGATTAGCACCTCGTTTTGTTTTGTTTTCTGTATTTGTTTTGCTGTTTGTTCTCTCTGTTGTCCAGCTGATGTTTTGCATTGCGGTTCATCGCATTCTGGCGTCAGTTTTGCATTACAAATGTCCCGTTGCTGTTGCCCATTGTTTTGTTTTGATTATCTTGGCTTTAATTTGTGCAACTGTTTTCCGTTCACTGTTTTCTCACCCCTCCCTTTCCCCACTTTTCTGTTTCTGTGTCTGTTTCTGTTTCGGTTTCGTTTTCTGTTTCTGTTTCCATTGTGACTTGGGCAATTGTCGGAGCTGTTGATATAACACTTAGATACCAGGCGCAACGACAATGCATTTGTTTGGTTCTCTTAAAACGTGACCGTTATTAGCACTGATTTGTTTTTGAATAACAGAAAACTTGTTTTAATTTCTGTTTTTTTTTGTTTTTTAATGTATTTTTGCATTGCAAATAAAGCTGCATGAAATGGGAACTGGGATCTGAGATATTGCAATACAGTTCTTCGTGAGAAATGTGTTAAAATTTGTCGAGCTTCTTTTAAATAAATGATAATGAAATACAATTAGTAAAAATAAAGATAACATTTGATTTTGCCATTCCCTATTGTGCCTTATTCGTAAACGTTAAAAATTTAAAGTTTGTCAATAGAAATACCTACAAATATTTAATTATCCCATAATGAAGCAGTTCTTACGCAAGAACGAGGTATATGAAAGAAACGCTTGCTTAATTATGTTTGAATTCCTCTTTAAGCTGCATCCTTAAACGTTTGGAGGAAGACTTTCTTCTCTTCTCATTGCTTTTAGCTTACTTACTTTTAAAGACAGAGAGAAAGAATTGTTTCTTGTACTCTTTAGGACATACTTTGAGAGACAAACTTCTTCCTTCTACTTTTTAAGATAGACTTGGAGAAATCTGTTTATGGACAGACGTTAATAAAATATAGCGAAAATTACACAGTTGCAGCTAACGATTGGCGCACGTTGCCTTTCAATGTGTATTTTATATTTAATGGACCAAAAAGACGATGATGTTGATGGGAATGGAAATGGAAATATGATGGCAACAATTTGTAAAGCTATTTTCAAAATTAGAAATATATACGTTTGTATCTAGTACAGATTTGCAGAAGATATATATATACAGAAAGAGAATGCATTCATTCTTCTCATTCTTCTTAGTGCCATTTCCTTAACCGACAGCAGGCATATGATGAATTGATTTTCATTAAAGTAGGTGACGTATGCGTAATATTGCTCAAGTCAAAGTTATTTGAAATGCTTCTCTGTATTTGCACGCAATTTGTTTATGTTTCACGTGCCTGGTTTTTTTGAGCATGAGAAGTTCTGTTCTTTTGTTCTGTCTGGCTTCGTGTCTGGCTGCACACATCGGCTATGTCGTCAGTCTTTGTCTGTCATTATATAGAGCACACAGATATACATGTGAATATTTATGTATTGTATACTTTCTGCATTCAATTGGTGCTGCGCGTGTGCTGCCCCAGCAACGTTCCACCTGGTAACATATCTAGCATGTTTACCTGATGCTCTGTTAACTACGGGTAAAACAACTTTATCAGAGAGTAAGTTAAGGTTAATGTTAAGGTAATGTTAATGTTAATGTTAATGTTAATGTTAATGTTAATGTTAATGTTAATGTTAATGTTAATGTTAATGTTAATGTTAATGTTAATGTTAATGTTAATGTTAATGTTAATGTTAATGTTAATGTTAATGTTAATGTTAATGTTAATGTTAATGTTAATGTTAATGTTAATGTTAATGTTAATGTTAATGTTAATGTTAATGTTAATGTTAATGTTATTGTTAATGTTAATGTTAATGTTAATGTTCATGTTAATGTTAATGTTCATGTTTATGTTTATGTTAATGTTCATGTTTATGTTTATGTTCATGTTAATGTTCATGTTAATGTTAATGTTAATGTTAATGTTAATGTTAATGTTAATGTTCATGTTGATGTTAATGTTCATGTTTATGTTTATGTTCATGTTAATGTTAATGTTAATGTTAATGTTAATGTTAATATTCATGTTACCGTTAATGTTCATGTTAATGTTCATGTTAATACTTACAATTATTCTATTAAAACTTAGGTGTTATTTGCAGGGCGCAAAAGTCTCGTCTTTAGTTTTATTTTCAAAGTCTACAAACATAACGATAGTTCGATTCTCGGATGTGTCATGTTGTGTTATTGGCGGCCAATTGCCAATTGTGTGTGACTAATGGCGAACGCTTTGGACCGGCGGCTGTGAAGCTGCTAATTGCTTAAATCAATCGGGCCAATTTTTCATAGAGAAGCAGCCAAAGGCAGATACCCGATAGTTAGTGCCCGGGCATCGTAGCACACATTTTGAAACTGTAGTCTATACTCTATATATATACTATATATGGCATCAATGGGTGCCAACAACGTGCAAACAGTTTCGTTTATTGTTCGATTCTCTGATGATTCGGTTCATGGCATTTAACACAGCTGCTTTTGTTTTTGGGCTCTAAAGATCTGTCGAAATCGCTGGCTGTAATTCGCAATTTGCAATATTTTCTGAAAAAGTACTGCAAACAAAGTAAAATCATATTACAACAAGAGTGCTCTAGGCGGGCGTGCCCGACTAGGAGATACCCTAAACCCAGCGCCGAGTTGCCTTTGCAAACAATGGATCCCTTTCTATACAAATGTAATATGAATCGATATATATTGTAGTTGTAGTTAGAAATCCATATAGACATGGGCTCAAATTACCCATTCTCATAACTCGGTCAAAATTCATATAATTTTCACTAGGTTGGCTTTGTTCAAGGTTTGACATTTAATAAAATTTTTACCCTCGAGTATAACTATAGGTCCATATTTGCCATTCTCCTATATTTTCTGACTGTTGCATTCATTTGTACAAAACCCATCTCCCCCATTTAGCCTGGTTTTAGGGAAGCAGTATGCCGCGATATTTGAGCACACCTTCGATTTGGCTCGGTGATCGACAAGATGAAACAATTGAATTCTGGGAATTACCAAATATTGCATTTATTTATGATTGTTTTTATAGGCGCAAAATCTTATTTGCATTTGCACTTTTCTAATTTACAAATATTATCATATATATGAGAAATGGGATACAAAGGGAAATTGTGGAAAATTTTTACTAAATTCTTCTCTTCTGTCAAGCAACTTTTTCTTATTGGAAATGCATTGTGAGGCATTTTCAGTCGAAATTGTTAAATCAGACGACAGTTCTGTCGATAAAACATTGCACTTACTCACAATATTTCCGGGTTCGATGCCAGCTTATGACAGCTGGGTTTAGTTGTTAATGTCTTAAGAATAAATAAATATTGAATACTTAAGTAAAACATGCATGCATATGATTATAAATCCATTTGTTGCTTAACTCCGATTCCAGTTAGGAGCTTGTTTCCAATATGCTTAGAAACAGCCTTAAATAGGGCGAGAGAATACAAGGGCATTACATGGATGGGGTGGTGGGGTGGTGCGGTGGGGTGAGGGGGGGCTAAGCACGGCGAGAATACGTTTTAATTAGCACCTCAGCGTTGGCGGCGGGGCCAAGTGTGAAGGCAAACAGCAAGAACAAGAAGAAGATGAAGCAGAACAAGAAAAAGAAAAGACAAAAACAAAGCAACTGCAAGCTGTTTACAAACAACTGTTTTTATACCCTGTACACCTCTATACCAAGCAACCGGGCATTATAGTTTCGCGCAAATGCATGTGACAGGCAAGAGGAAGCAGCTCCGAATTCATAAATGAAATATATACTATATATATCGATCAGTCATAAGTGTCTGCATAAATTTAATCGAGTTTTATTAACTCAACATTAATATATAGAGTTCTGCGCTGAGTACAGGGTATCTTTCTGGCGGGCACTCATTAATATAACACTCCTTTTTTGGCCTATGGGCATTGAGCAATTGAATGGCGCAGACGTTGCGGCTGGGAGACTGCAAATTTGCCTTCCCCTTCAATTTAGACTTTGGACCCGTTAGCTGCCAAAAAGACAGCCCACAGAGTTCAGCAAGAGAAGGGGAATTTGACCGGTACACGGGCGCGGGGGCGGGGGCGGGGGAGCAATATGCAAGAAAGAACCATATTACAACGTTTGAGCAAAGCTGGAACAGCGCACGCCATGCTGGGAGAGCGCTCTCCCACATTGGCTCTCCCCACACAAAACTCTCAGGGCAGCAGCAGTAACGTCGGCGGCAGCAGCTGTGCTGGCAGAGACAGCGTCGATCAGTCAACGCTGAGAGCTCGTCGCGTGCAGTTCGTTTCCGCAGTGTGTCTGTACGCTTTTGCCGAAAGTTAAAACGAAAGCAACCGTCGTCGCCCTCGCGCACGCTGGGAACATCATAATCATGCTGATAATGATGATCTGATCCAGCGGCTGATCGTGTGTCGAGTGTGTGTGTATGTGTGTCTGTGTTAACTGCGGCAAAGGCAGGCAGCAAATACCAAAAGCAGCAACAACAAAGAAATTAAATTTGTGAAACGAACTTTTGTACCTGCCAGCCCAAAAGGTAAACCCACAAAAAATATTAAGCAGAAAAAGAGCAAAGTGCAAAAAAGAAGCAGCAGCATTTACCAATACCCCCTCCCTCAACCCCACGCTGCTCAGTTTACGCGCGCGCGTCTATGTGTGTGAAGCAAGAAAAAAATAAGTATTTCTATGTATGGGTGATTGTAGAAATGTTGTTGTTCAAGTGCTTTGGCGGCTAAAACAAAACAAAAAACGCGCAGAAGAAGCAGCAGCAGCAGCAGCGGCCGCTGAGTTTGCTTAATAAATGTGTGTTTTTTTTTTTTAATATTTCCACTAAAAATAATAATGAAATAAAACGCTAAGTTGGCCGTTTCGTGATTAATATTCATAATTTTCTAAGGCATGCGAAAAGAGCAGCAAAAGAAGCCAAGAAATTAAATATACGTGTGTGTGTGCGTATTCTTCTACTTCTACTTCTGCTATTGCCGTCTCTGTCTCAAGCACGCGTTAATTTATTATACCAGCGACAGTTTTTTGTTTGTGCTTGTGTGTGTGTGTTTGTTTGTGTTTGTGCGGTTGAGTTCACCCCCCGCCCAACCCGAAAAAACAAAACGCACAAAACAAAACGCGAAATTTCAAACGAAAGTCGCGACGCTTCGAGTCGGTCAAATATAACTGAAATATCAATACATATACATACATATACATGTATGCACACATATACATACATACATATAATTATACTTGTATTAATACCGAGTCTCTAAGCACTCGCATCTGTGTATTTGTAATGTGATTTCAATAAGCGCTAAAACAAAGGCAACAAATATCAAATATAAGCAAGCTTAACTAACTAATTAATCTTCAATGTAAGTATAAGTACAATATTGAATGAATCCTATTGAAAGCAAATCAAAGTCAATTGAAATTTTAAATGCAATTTATAGAAATAAGAAGAAGAACAAATGTGTTCTGGATTTTGTTTCTCCTTCCTTTTCTAACTAATGCTTAGCATCATTTTTATGCTGCGGCATTCTTTTTTCATTTTTGCTTTTATACATTTTCTTAGTTCATTTTTGCGTCTGCCAAAAGTTTTGTTTATATTTCGACGTCTCTCTTTGCTCCACTTTCTTGCCCTTTGTTTTCGGTCTTCTGCTTTGTGTATATGCGAGTGATCGCTTGAGACTGTTCAAAGTTTTGCACTCCTCTTCTTCTTCTTCTTCTTCTTCTTTGTCTGCCGTTGGCCGCATAACGGTGCATGTGGGCAGTTGAGGTTGAGGTTTATACGAGTTTATGCCAGTTGAATATGGGCTACATGTTATACGCTCAATGAGATAAGACATTCAGATACAGATACTTCAGACAGCAGCAGAGCAGCAGCACTTGAAGTTTATGGCCAACCCCCTCACTCACCGCCCCTCTCATCTATAACCTTTGCTACGTGTCTCAGCGAAATTGTAAAATCAGCTTTTATGGCCTGTTTTTTGTTGTTGTTGTGCTCCGAACAAAACTGAATGACACGTTGTTGCCTTGGCGCATCAGCTTAGTTTACAGTTAGTTAATGTTAACGGTAATGCCAAGGAAATTGGCATGTCATCGGTACACTGTAAAAAAATATATTAGCTAGCCTTTAATTAAGAGTAAAATAATTTTTGCTTTAATAAAGATCAATTTTTATTAAGTATTAACTCGACATTTTGAGACCCTGGCCAGGATGGAAATTAAGGGTTCGAACTCCCTCAAATAACTCTTTTAAATTTAATTTCCTTTTTTTATCAATATACTTTATATTATAATTAAAATTAGTTTTATTTAATAACAAATACTTAGTTTTTCGATAATTAAGATTCATTTTGAAAGCGGAACTCAACATGCTTAGACTCTTGGCAGGGAGTATTGATGGGGTAGCATAGAGAGCTTAGCTACCCAATATAAAGTTCGAACTACGGGTTCGGACTCCCTCAAAGAGAAAGGTATAAAATATATACAAATAATTTCTTTTAAATTTGTCTTGGACTTTGGCTAGTTTCTTTCTTACTTTATTATTCCATTCAAAATTGTTTTTAATTTGATTTTTTTAACAGTGTATTTTTTTTCAAAATGTGTACACATAATTTCTTTTAAATTTGTCTTGGACTTTGGCTAGTTTCTTTCTTACTTTTTTAGCCCATTTGAAATGGATTTTTTTGAACAGTGTAAGCCATAAGTATGCACCCCAAATACAAATAACTCGTGCATTGACTTCCCCATTTTGAACATATAGACAAATAGGTGTTACGAGTGTGGCACTACATAGAGTCTCTGTCGCACTTCCGGCTCGATATCAATCACGCAAAAGGTTCTACGGTTTGACATTTACTTTTCAGCACTTGATCAAATTCAGGTGCTTAAAACGTGACTCGCCTGCTAACTGGCTAATTAAATTACCTGTATTATCAAGCGAGTTTATTTTGTATAGAATTTTTATGTTTATTAATATGATTATTGTTGTTGTTGGCAGCACAAGTTGCCGCTAATTAGCTAGCTTTGGGCGATTCTATGGAACCACTCGAGTCCTCTTCTTATTATGTGGGCGGAGTGCGAACAGATATCATCTAAGTGCCTGCCTACCTGTTCGTCTATCCACCTGCCTGTCTTTCTGTTTGGCCTTTGTTTTTCTGCCAGCTGGCAGGCAGGTTAGATAATTTTGACATTTTATGTGGCACAGCGAGAGATAAGTGCGGGGTTTTTACGCCTTTGACATTTATTTCGGTAGTAAAAACTCAAGTCTTACTCTCCAAGACCCAAAAACAATTATGTTTAAGATAAGAAAGTATGACTTGTAGCAAAATATAGCTTACAATTCTCTTGAACTGGCTCAAAAGTAACATTCGATGCTTGTTCAATGAACCAGTTCTATACAGAAATAACTGTCTATGTTTGTTCAATGAATCAATTCCTTTCTAAACACTTACTAGCCCAGGAACTAGTTTAAAACAACGACCGCAGACTCGTTCCACTAATCCAATGTCAAAGCAGCTTGAGAATATAAATGAGCTTTCAAATTTAAGAATGGCATGAAATTGATCAACTGAACTAGTTTCTATCTAAAAGCATATTCTCCATTGAACTGATGCACTAATTAAGACTTCAAGAATAAGTTTTTTATTGGTGGTGGAAGCGCCTGTGAACTAGATTATTATAAAAGGAACTAGTTCCAGTTCTTAAAGCAGTTTCATAAACATATGTGAGCGTTAAAAATTAAGAACCAGTTCAGTTTTTTTCCGAAAACACTTAGTGAACGGTAAAATTTAGGACTGGAACCAGTTCACTTTTTCCGAAAACCATTAGTGAACTGGTTCACTTGTTCAGAAAGTCTATAAGCTTCAGAATCAGTTCCTTATTAGGAATTTACTAGCCCATGATCTAGATGAATAATAAAAGCGCGAACTAGTTCCAATTATTTTCAGTTTGACGGTATTAAAATTGGCTTGCGAACTAGTTTGAATCCTTAATAATAATATGCTCTCTTAACTCTTAGTTATGTAGCTCTCCCTTAAGTTTTGGAACCAGCTCTCTATTTCTTTTTTCATGTTTTAAGTCTTGAATCAAAATAACAGTATATCCAATAGAATTTCAGCATTGAACTAGTTCACAGCCAGCGCAAACTTGTTGAGAATTAGTATACACCGGCATTTTCAGGCTTTGATTGGATCTAATTATGACACTTTGAGTTAAGTTCTGCAAATGCCACACAAACTGTGTCTAAAACTAGTTTTAAGGCAGCTTCAATAAATTCGAGAGTTAATCAGTTCCGCTTGCAATGTTTACGGCTCAAATGAATCAAGGCTTTGCAACAGGTGCAAAGCATTTCTTATCGGCAGGTACGCGTTTCCTGCATTTTTGGCGGAAATAACCAGAAATAACTTTGAATTTTGCAATAACTTCAGACGTCAGACGAGAAGGTTGCCAGATGTTAAGACGTCAGACTTTAAAACGGGGAAAAACTGCGTCAGCCAAATGCCGACGTCATGAAAGCATACATTAACATTTGCGTGGCACTGTTAATGAAGCGTTACCAATTGAGACTCCGGCCAGAGATATCGCTAAGTGAAGTTGGCCAACTGATCCGGCCATGAATCATGCGCATCATTAACAGGTGTGTTCCAACAGCTTGCCGTTGACAATTTCGGGAAAACACTTGAACGCAAATGCAAACGCAAACTCGCTGTCGAAGTCGAAGCCCAACAATTGATCCAGTCAATCAGCATATTTGTGTTAATTCGTGATACGCGTGGCTTTTAACACACAGTCTACGGCACCTCACCTGGAAACTGATGACTGGCAGCCTTTTATTTGCTGTTGCCACTGAAAGTGTGTGAAAAGTAAGGGTATATTGCCCTTATCTAAATATATATTAGGCGTGGGGAATTATCTTCGAACCCAGCGAGTGATAGAGACTAAAAGAGTTGAAGACTGAGAAACATCGATTAGTCTTCCAGATCATAAGTATCGAACGGATGATAATCGTTTCTTTAGGCATGGATCATATTGAGCAGATGGATGTATCTTCAACCCTGGCGCATCTCAGAGACTATAAGATTGAATGTCTTCAAGGTTGGAAGAAAGCTTCTGCTATTTTCAAACATCGATAACTGTTCACCTTAAATCGATAAATATCGCTCAAGCTCTTTTGGCGTAGATTAAAAGAGTTTCACTTATTCGATTCATTTCCCTTAATACCCTGAAAAGCTGTAAAGAGAAAGGGCATATTGCTGTTGCATCTTATACACCCGTGAATTTTAGAGATTCTAAGAGAGAGTGAAAGTTTTGCTATATCCAAACATAGATAACTTTTTCCGTTTTCCCAAAACCAATAAGTATCGATTGGCTCCGATTGGCACACTCGTATCTTTAGGCTTGCATGAAGAGTATTTTACTTGTCTGTTTCCCTTCCTTTGTGCACTTGTGTACATTTAAGCGATAAAAAAGAAAGGGTATATCGTTTTTGTAATTGTGTAAATGTATATTAGGAAGACGGAAGTATCTTCAACCGCATCGAATCTTAAATACTATAAGGTTTATAGTTTTTAAATATGGAATGCAGGTTCTGCTATATCCCAATATCTATAACTCTTGCAGTCTTCTAAAAATCGATAAACTTCGATAAGCTGCTGTTGCTACAATCTTCTCTTTTGGTACGTATTAAAAGTATTTCGCCTATTCCATACCCTTCCCGAAAGATATCAAAACTCTTGAGGTATACTCTCCATCTTGGCATACTAAAGATCTTGTGCTTAGGTTAACTGCAGCTTGAGACTGGAAGCTATAGGGCATCTTCCAGTCGAGCAGTCTCTACCATAACACTCCTCTTTGTTGGCCTTTCTCATCTCTCACACACACACTCGCACACACACTTACACAGGCATTTTATCAGCGCCAGCAAATCTGCGCAAACAACAAATATTTACCAAGCTTATAGATATAATATTGTATATAAAGCCGAGTATATGCCCACTCGTATATCTTATCTAATGTGACATGCATGTCAGCATTTTGAACGACGCACTAGCCGCAATACCACACAATTTATGCACCATCCCATTCACATTCACATTCACATTTAGTCGCTCCCCTGGACTCCCAAATATGAGTTTTGGCCCGACCAGGGTTGCCATTTGGCATGCAGCAAGTGTTGCCACCGCCGCCCACATCAAGGCGACAATAACTGAACGCAATATAAAACAATATTTATTATACATGCTCAACTTTAAATTTTATGTGCCAAACAATTACCAAAAGCAAATATTATTTGGTGCTAGGCAAGACGAATCGGGTATGCTCTGCACTGTGTATACTCTGTAAGCTCTGCAAATTTTAAAATTATATA